GGCAAGAGAGGACATATACACTCAGGCCTTCCAGCTGTGGCCCAGCCTTGCACAAGCCCCAGCTCCATCAGGCCCAAATGGCCATAATTGCAGCCTCCTCCACCCCAGGAACAACAAAGAGGTACAAGGAAAATGAAAGAGGTGTGTCCATTCCAGGTGGCTCCATTCAGGCAGAGAGAGTTGGGCCACACTTCCCTACCTCTGCCCATCAACTGTGTAACACCACTTGGTGTGACCTGCTTAAAGTATCTCTCGCTGTGCATTTCTCTTCTTTAAGAGACAAGCAGGTCTGGCTCAGAGAAGGGAATGATCCTTGACCCCACATCAGAGTGTTTCTTCAGCTTACCCCTATGTGATTTCGGGGGTGGTGAAAGGCCTTCTGAACGGTACAGTTGGCCCTTCTGTCTCCAAACCCACTCTGCGTTCTTAGGAGTCCTAGCGTACCCTCCCTTCACTGGCTCTCTCCCTCCTTCTCTTCTCACTCCTGCTCAGCATGACCTAGGCCTTATCTTGAATTTCTTCAGGCAACACAGGGGGAGGGACGCTGACCTCTGGTCTTCCTGCTGCCAGCAGAGCCATTCCTCAGGTGCAAGTCAACTTTTCTCATCAGAACCCAGAACCCTTCTGTGAAACACTGTAAATATCTAGGGAAGAGGACATGTTTTTAAAGTTCAGTGATGCCTGTGAGGACAAAATTCCCTCATCACTTTCTTGTCCCTGGTGCAAGAGGCTTACAGGACCAAGATTGTCTTCTGTGCTCCATCCTGAAATAATCAAGGATAAGGGAGACAGGAGGGAAGAATGGCCAGCATTTTCAGGTACCTGAGAAACTGCTGAGAGGGGAGAGCAGCTCAGCAGGACCACTGCCACCTAGTTTAACACTTCAGCACACCGTTCACCTCCTATATCTGTCTGGCAGTGCAGCAGTGTCTACGCCTGTTCTCCCTTCCCTTTTCAGCTGGGCTCCAAAGGTGATGTGGAATCTTGGCAATTGCATTAATTTCTTTCTCAGAGGGTATGACTACCACGGAGTTCAGTGAGCTCCGTCCCAGAGTGCTGTTGCTGAAATTCTCTCCCCCTTTTTCATTTTCTCCTTTCATTCCTCACCTTTCTCTTCTTCCTGTTCCTCCTTCCTCTCTCTCAATCTCTCTCTCTCACCCTCACACAGAAAGAGGTATATTTAGTATATTTAGGATGAACAATTTTGTAGTAATCATTGGCCTTGGCTTTTACTCATCCCAAAGTGTTTCCATTCATATTATATTATGTGCTCATTTTTAGTTACAACTTCACTCAAAAGGCAGATTTTTTTTTTCTTTAACAACCTTTGAGAGGTAGAACAAAAACTGAAGTATCTTTGGCCAGTAAGAGAACCTAAAATAAAAATAGGTCAATCATTCATAGATTCAGTTAATAAATATTTATTTCATAACACATCATACCAGGAATTATGCCAGGCCCTAGGAAGACAGTGATGAATAAGAAAGACACCATCTTTGCATTTGTGTAACTTGCAGTCAGCTAAACAATTAAGTACAATAAAGTGCAGTGCATGTAATGAAAAGAAAACACTGGAAACATAGAGGAAATGGTCTCTAACCTAGCCTTGGCGTCTGGGAGCCCCCACTCCCTTGGACATACACACATACATGCTTCCCAAAATGTATAATCTTTACTCTGAGACCAACAGGATGAATAACAAGTTACAAAGATGAAAGAGAGAATGAGTGCAGAGGGGTAGAAAGGTCCAGAAATTGCGAAGACCAAGAGGATGGAGAATGTAGCACTATTCAGGAACTAAAAAATAATTCATCCTGGTCAAATAGAGTGAAGAAGGAGAGAGGTGTGAGGGGTGTCTGGAGAGGTCTCTGGGGTCAGCTCAAGAGAAGGCTTCCCACAGTCCAGAGTTTGAGGCAGGAGCTGCCTTTTGCAAAGCTTATTTTGGCTGCAGGGCGGAGTGTGGGTTATAAAAGACCAACACTGCACACAAAGAGCACAGCAAAGATTTAGGGACCTACCCCTGTGGAGACAATGCAGGAGGCAGGTGAGGGTAGCTCATTTTAGAAGAATGGCAATAGGGTTTGGAGAGGCGGGGGCAAATGAAATATATATTTTTAAATGTTATATTGAAATAAGCCAGTCTTTTAAATATATTTAGTGACAAAAGCAATAATTGTTTCTCTAATTTACTCTACTATTATATGTATTTTAAGAGAAATAGATACATCCATAGGCTTGGATATGCCATGAGTATTTCTGGAAGGATAAATAATAAACTTTTCTTAGTGAATGTCCCTGGAGAACACACCTGAAAGCTTGAGACAGAGGTAGGAAAACTTATTTGTCTGTGTGCTCTTTGAATTTCAGACCATGTGATGTGCCATCTAAACAAAATCTTTCTTTTTTAAGAAGACATTTTTGGAATAGAATACTCATAGAATTTGAGATTTCCTGGAGTGAGAGCTAAGACAGAAGTGCTGAGCCTGACACCCAGGATCCTGGCTTAGGCAACCTTGGCGGTTGCACTGCCACGTGTTTGTTTGAGGACACCAGTGGAGAAGCAGGTTTGGTGAGGAAGGAAAGCTGTTCAGTTTGGGACATGTTGTATTTAAGCTGTTGGTAAAATATCCAGACAGAGCGGTCCAATAGATAGGGGCCAAGCTGCTCAGGCCTGGAGCTCCAGAGATAGATCTAAAGTAGAGAGAGGGAGTGGGCAATCGGTGAGCTCCTGTGCGGCGATCTATGAAAGCAGATGGGATGGCCCAGGTGGTGGGGAAAATGAGAGCCTGTGGGCCAAAACTCGTTACTGGGCCGGGAGAAGAGAAGCAGCTATAGTGGCCGGGGTGTGTAGCGCAAGACATGTTGAAAAATGGTGAATATTCAACTGTTCTGTGAATATCACCGAGAGCTCAGATAGAACTAAGGTTTTCAGTGGGTTCCATCACAGGCAAATAATCTTGACTAGTGGTATCAGCAGCAGGGAGAAGACAGGGTCAAATCACAATGGTCTAGGTGTCAGTGGGAGGCCAGGAGAAAATGGAGTTTACTCTTCAGAAGTTTGGTCCTGAGCAGGGGGTGGAAAAGGTAGAGCAGTAGCTGAAAGGAGAGGCAGGGTTGCAGGAGGGCCTTTGCAATTCCTTTGAAAGTGTAAAAAGCATAGAGGATACATATTTGCTGTCAGAGCCAGAAGAACGGAGAGGTTAAACATACACAAGTGAGGGCGGCGCCTGTGGCTCGTGTGAGTGAGTGTGTGTGTGCTTGTGTGGTCCCTCCACGTTGGGCCCTCAGCTCTGCACCTGTCTGTGGTTTCAGAAGTCCCACTTAGTCCTTTGCTGTTCCAGACCACAGTGCTCCTAAAAGTTGTCATGCCTTTTTGGTGCTGGTAATGGTGGAGGTTGAAATAAGAAGTGCAGTCTGTATACCCTGCCTGGGTGCCCTGGACACCTGGTTACCGATTTCTCTGCTGGAAACACCCCTTTGTCTATTGTTCTGATTATTTCACAATCCAGCACAGGGGCACAGGGAAGTGGGAGTGCAGGATGGCTGTCTCAGCAGCTTCCACGGTTGCTTCCAGGCACAAAGATGAGTGGCTGCTGGAAGCCACCTGAGAAGCAGGGAAGGAAGGGCCCAGAGAAGAAATGACCAGGACATTCAAGCATCATTTACCAGATGTACACAAAAACACCAGGATGCAAATGAGATGCAGACATTGTTCAGACTCTGTCTGACAAAGCAAGGATAAGACAACTCAACCTCGGTGAGGAACAACCCAGTTCAGAACCAAACAACCTGAATAGCCACTTCTCCATAGACGATAAATAAATGTCCAATACTTAATGCATGGTGACAGTCATCAAAACTGTCAGTCTTTAGGGAAAGTCAAATAAAACCTACAATGAGATACCACTCCACATTCATCAGAAGGTAAAGTGGTGAAGCCTGCTGTAAAAATCAGAATGGTGGTTCCTCGCAAAGCCTGACACAGAACTGCCACATGGTCCAGCAATTCCACTTCTAGGTATACATCCCAAATAATTGAAAATAGAGGCTTGAACAGCTATTTATGCCCCCATGTTCATAGCAGGACTATTCGCAATAGTCAAAAGGTGAAAAAATCAAATTTTCATCAATGGGTAAACGGATAAACAAAATGTAGCCTATACAGACTAAAAATATCATTTGATCTAAAAACAGGAATGAAATTCTGATGCCTACTACAATATGGATGAACTTAGAGAACATTATGCCAAAATAAGCCCGACAAATAGGACTGCAATTGTAGGATTCTGCTTAGGAGAGGTGCCCAGAGTAGTGAGATTCACAAGCAGGAAGGAGAATATTGGCCATCAGGTTTGGAGAGGGAAGAGCAGGAGAGCTATTGTTTAATGGGTATAAGAGCTTCTGTTTAGGAAAGAACTTCCGCAGATGAATCATGCTGAATCCACTGAATTGTACAATTAAAAGCGGTTAATATGGTGAATTTTATGGGTCATGTGTTTTGCTGCAATAAAAAGAAAAAGAAGGTAAGGATAAGAAATCTTTTTTATTGCAGTTTTGTAGTTGGGGTTTGGTTGCTAGGTGGGGAGAGAGTCTTGCAGGTTAGGGGAAAGGAAGGACCACAACCTGAGTGCCATGCCCAGCTCCTCCCACACTAAAATGCGCAGAGCCAGGCGGGCCTCCAGCAGACTACTTTCTAATGGTCACATGGAGCGGTCCTAACATTAATCCTGCATCACTACTTCAAGTTTTTGTACTCAAGTACAACTTTGGTCCAAAAAATACCTCCTTTTCCAAAGATGTGGGTCTTCCTAGAACCCAGAAAATACGTGTGACAATGTATATCCACTGGCCATCTTCAGAAATGCTGATGTGAAGGGTGAGACACGGCCCTGTGGGAATATTCTGTCCACGCCCTCCCACCATAACAGGCGTGAAAGTTAGATACTTGCGTGGGCAGGTGTTTTCCTGCTTGTCCCTGCCCCTGAGCCCACCTGGGCTCGGGTCAAGAGGAATGGGGATCCCACTCAGAGACGGTAGACCTCCTCTCCTTCCCCCTCGCCAAGGTCTAGGCCAAGATTCACATGTCCCATGGCATTTCGACGAAGGATCTCCCAGCCCCGGTGACTGCTGCTGCGGGATGTGGTCCGGGACAGGGAGGGCGTAGGGAGGGCAAGGGAGGCTCTAGCCAGGGTCCCACTCTCAGCCATGGAGGGCTGTTTCTCAGAAAACTGCTCCTGCCCATCCTCCTTGTCTGGGCCCTTGAACGCCTCCACATAGCGCATCACCCGCAGGGGGTTCTGAGTGGTGTGGTTCTCCACCCTGAGGAGGGCAAGAGGGAAGGGACTCAGTCGAGGTGGGAGAGATGGACCATGGGGAGAAGGGAAGGTGAATGTTCAGAACACAGGGTTGAGAGGAAATGGGAGAGAAGACACTTAGGACCAAGTGAAGGGAAGAGGATTGGAGTGGAGCTGAACCTGGGATGGAGATCAAAGAAGTGGAGACTCTGTGTGTGTGTGCGTGTGCGTGTGCATGTGTGTTTGTGTGCATGCACACATGCTTGCACAGTGCCGATATGTGAGCATGCCAAAGAAAAAATAGAACCAGTTACGAGATAAATGTGTCACGAGGACACAGAGCAGCAATTCAGGAAGTGGATGTGAGTGGAGGGAAGCCAGCTCAGGCGATGGGGGTGGAGTATCAGCAGGAAGTTAGACCAGAGGCGCAGCCTGCTGGAATGGGGGTCAGGTCAGGCAGCAATAAGCCACAGGCGAGCTGGGTGACCCATGCTCACTCCCTTCCTCCTTTCCCTGCCCTGAGGGGCACACAGCACGCTTGCTATCCTTCCACCTTAGCTCCCTTCCCACCTCCCAGCTGCCCTGGCCCCCCAAACCCCCCACCCCTGCACACACAGACTGGCCACTCACCGCAGGAACCAGCGATCCCCTAGCCCATATTGGAGCCCGCAAATCCCAGAGCGCGGCCACAGGAAGCGCGGCATCTTCCTCTCCAGCACCACCGTGGTGGCCACAACCTGAAAAGAGGCAAAAGGTGGAGGAAAAGCTCGAAGCCCAAGGTTCAGAGAGACACAGAGGCATCAACCAAAGGAACCTGGTAGATGAGATGCTAGAGGTCACTGGTGGGGACAGCCCCTGGATCGGCACCTGCTACCTGCTTCACTCCTCACAAAAACAGGATTTTTTATGAGTGTGTTGAATGAAATAGTGCCCCTCATGTTACTATTTAGATTCATGGAAAATGAGTCACTCCAAAGGAATCTCTGTTTCCTTATTCGTAGAAAAGCCATAGACCAATTACCCTGATGTAAATAAGATGATTAAATAGAATCTCCGTGATCTTGGGTGTGATATGATGCTGCTACTGTTCAGGGAATTTTCAGCACATTAAATAGCCATATCTTAAGGAGGAGCAGAGTTGATTAATAACTGCACACCTGGCAAGGAACTTTCTAGTAGCATGTCTGTCACATGTTTTGTCCTTTGCTCAGCCCTCATTAATTGCTTAGATGAGATACGGAAAACAAGCTTATCAAATATTCCTGGGACACACCACTGGGAGGGATGTGTGATATGTGAAGTGACGGAAGCAGTATGACATGACTTCACCAGGCTGGAATGCTGGTCTAAAACCAAGAACATGAAATTTGAGAAAACCAAGACTAAGGTCATTCATTTACGTGTAAGAAGCTGAACTCAGTGAGTCATGTAACAAAGACAAAGGGGTTCTAGTTGATCATAAGCTTAATGAGGGCCAGCTGTATATTTGCCAAAAGACCTGACTCAATTTTAGGAGCTTTTAATAGTATTATGTCCACAGCAAGGAGAGGCATGACCCCTCTTTGCAATGCACTGTTCCAATCAGATCAGGACCATTCTAGTTTCGAAGGGACTGTGACCCATCAGAGCATAAACACAAAAGTACAATCAGAATACGTTGGGACTGGGAAACTGTACGCATTAAAGGTGCTGGTAATCCTTAACATAGCAAACTCCTCACCTGGTGTTTTTCCACTCCTTTTCTTTCCCATTATCCCACACTTCCCTCAGTTTCTCAGTTGTTCCAAGTTCTTTCGCATCTCAGGACGTCCTTAGTTTAGTTCTCTTGCCCTGAATAGGTCTTCTTCTTTCCCTTGGCAAGGATGTTTATTGTTCTTCCTGAGACACCCATCAGCCCCCTCCTTCCCCTGATGACAGAGTCGGTCTTCCCTTCAGGGAGCCGCTCCTTCATCACTCTCAGCCCACGGGTCAGAGCAGACAAGCTTCACACAGTCCTGGTGAATTATTCTGTTCTCTCCCAAGCCTCATCTCTCCCACCTACACCACTACTAACTATTCAGCCCTTGGTCTTCCATTAAATTCAAAGACGTGTCTATGATCCAAACTTGTTCCAATGAGTTGGCACTTAGAATGAATTCACTAGGGAAAGATTTCTTTACATTTTTTTTTTTTTTAAATTCTTTTGAGCCTGAAGCACTCACTGCACAGCATCAGGAGCCTCACCTCCCAGAAGACAATGTGAACGGGGCCCTTGGGACTGTGCAACACAGTGCACATGCTCATTCTTTTCGGGGTTCGAAGTTTCTAGAAGCTAGCTCCCAAACATGATGAGAAAGCTCGCCTTAAAAGAGAGCAGAACAGAGAAAAACTGATATGAATGCAGGGATCTGCATTCTGGCTGGGAATTCCTAAAGTTAATTCTCTATGTTTTCCACTTGTGAGGACCAACACATCTTCCTCCCACTATTTAAAGAACAAAAAGCCTGATTGAGTGTATTTATCTATGCTGTAGTCAGAACCCTGATTGATACAAAGCTCACCCGCCATCCTTTCTCCTCATCCCTCTTAATTAGCTAGTTTTTCATTCCTCTTTAGGGTCTCATCTTAAATGTTCCTCCCCCCTCAGCAAAGCGTCTTCTAACTTTCAAGTCAGATCTCTGTTACAGGCTCTGCGTAGTACCTTGTACTTCTCTAGGACACTTTGGCTCCTGTCATTTTATGACGTTCTGTAAAGTCACTTGCTTCATGTCTGTCTTTCCAGTTAAACTGTCAGTACCATGAGGGCACAGATTGTATTCGCTGTGTTTATGCTTCTATCCCTAACTTTTAGACATGTCCCAACATACAACAAGCTCTAAATGATAATTGTTAAGGGACTAAAATGTCTGAGGGGATAAATAATAGTTATATTCAAATATTTGCAAGGTTCTCATGTGGAAGAATGTGTTCTGTATTATGTGAGGGGAAAAAACTGTAGCCAAAGAATAAAATTACAGTATGATAGGCTTTACCTGAATGCAATAATAAAATATTTTAAAATATGGAAAAACTCACTCCTCCTAACCCCCACCCAAATCTATGAGATAATAAGGTCCTAATCAGCATTAAAGAAGATATCGAATGACATAGTTACCAATAAATGATTAAAATGTTGACTAGGAAGTCACCTTGAAGAGCATTAAGGTCACTTCCAATTCTAATATTTTATTAGTCTATGATGACACAAAGAAAAGGTCATGGAGAAACATAAATGCACAGAAGCAAATAGAAGATAAGGTCCAAATGAAAACTGGAATATGTAAGAATGAGACAGTTTTTAGTTCACAGGACTCTGGGATGACTCCTGAATCCCTTCTTCACCTATGATCAACAACCCCACCTCTTACCTCCATCCTTCACTTCATCCCCTGTTGGTCCCCTACATTCATCCACACATACGTCAGACTCTCAGAGTTACATAAACCTCTTTGGGGCTGTTCTAGGACTCTCTTAAGAGTGGTCTACCATAACAATTCCCACTTTGATATTTCTCTCCATCCCCCTCCTCTGTGCAACACTAACTAATACTAATGAACTCACCTGGGCCCTCCAGAGCTCGTCTCGCTCCTGGGCCACCCTCCAGTGTGTGTCACCCATCATGGCGATAAACAGGTTGAGCATAAGCAGCGTAGCAATGATGGCAAAAGCAAAGTTGACAATGCCAAACATGAAAGGCAAGTTCACCTCGTAGTTGGCAGGTGCATCAATGATGGTGAGGAAAAGCTCAAAGGTGCTGAACAGAGCCATGGGATAGTCATAGAATTCCCCTAAATTGGTTGGGTCCTCTGTCTGGAAAATGATATAGAATGCTGTTCCACCCAGAAAAAGGACACAAAAATGGGAAAATTGAGTTATCACAATTGCATGGACCTAGCATTCATCCTACCTCTGAAATATATAGCTCTGCACACACACAAGCACATCCAATCGCACACCTATAAATGTAGTTATCTGTGGAACTGGCTAACCCTAAGATGTCCTATGACTAACTCCATTAGTCTGGGGAATAGTAATGATAATACTCAGCCATTTAACAACAACAACAAAAAAAGCATAAAAATGTGTGTATGTGTAAGGGTAATAAGTCACCTAACTGGTTTATACATTTCAGAGAACCAAATACTTAAAGTGAAAGTTATTACAAATATGCATGGAATCTCAGACAGAATACATGAAGGGCCAAGTGAAGAGTTCCTTTTTTATCCTCTTGGCCTCTAGATAATCATCCATCACTCTGAGAGTCCCTTGGTGAACCTGGACCCTTATGGGAAAGTTATCCTCACTCATTACATAGCCTACTAGATGCCAGTGAGTGTCCTGGAAACCTGGGACACCATAAGACCCTTTAAAAGGCTCTTCTCTGTATGGAGAACTGAAACTCAAACAAAGTGATCCCAATGAGATGAATGATCAAGCATTGCTTCCTTATTTACTTAAGAAGAAAGCAAGTAGGGGTAGTTTAAGGAATTCTAGGTATAGCACATCTACAGAAAAGTACTCTGTTGCCATTACCTCATTTTGTAGATTCAGATAAGGAGGGAGTGGGGAGAAAGAGTGCTTGAGGGCTCAGGGAAGTGGAGTACTCCAAACAGGGAGACCGCCCCAGTTTCCCGTTCATATTTCAGATCTTGGTGGATTTTTCTTCACCTACAATTTTGTGGGAACCCCTACTGAATGAGAAATTCCTAAGGACAATAATAGAGTCCTCTGTAGTGAGTCATGGTTTTTTAGAGTTTGGGGGTCTTCAAAGCTCACCTAGTATCAGTCATTGTCTGAGGGATGACCCGCTGCAGACACTGAGAAATGAGTTAGAGGTGCAAGACTTGGCTCTCCAGACACGGTCTATTCTCTTTCCTCCTGTCCTTAACTCTCTTCTGCTCACTTCCACCCCCTCCTCCTTCCCGCTGGTCTCTCTCTGCCTGTGCTTTCCAGCTGCTGTTCTTTCTCTTGCTCCCTGCCACCCACCCACCACCTGTGGCCTTGTCCCTGTTCTCCCAGTCTTTCTTCAGAACTCTTCTTTTCCCACCTCCTCTGTTTCTCTGCACCTCCATTTTCGTTCCCTTTCTTTCAACTTTGAATGACCACATGTAGAGGAAGAGCATGTTATGTGTCATCAAATGCTTTGTTTCTTCTTCCTAACTATAAACATGGGGAGTTAACTATTGCACTGTCTCTGTTTGCCCATAGTTTTCTGAGAGTCATGGCTGGCCAGCCTATCTTCTTTGATGTCTCTTTTTCCAAACACCCTTAATTGTCTTCTAAAGATCTTGCTGGGTGGTTAGTCAATGTGAAATCATTGGGTCTGAACACATAGGCCAGCCTGAGTGGCCCTGATCTTATGAATATGGGTGTGCTTTTGAACTCACTTTCCAATAGGAAAAGAAAGAAAGGGAGAAAAAAAAAAACTTAAAGCAGATGACAAGTGAGAGCAAGAGTGAGTATTGTAAACTGTTTGGAGAACTGGACCTAATGATCTAGTAGAGGAGGGGACAATGACTCACCTGAGGCAAAGCCCAAGATGACCACAGCCATCAGCCAGCAGAAACGCATGAGGTCTCCAAAAATCATCTGCATGAAACAGAAAAAGTGAGGCAGGCTTGGACAATCCCTCTTCCATGGTCACTGAGCAGCTATTGCTAATAGATCGGAAGGTATCTACCCCCATCCCTCTGTCTGGAAAGGACCCAGCATTGGGAAAGCACTGACCTTCTGAATCATAATGGTGAAGGGGCCCAACATCTGGAATCCTCGGGCAAAGTACATGACACTGCACCAGCCCAGCACCAGGGCCAAGGACATGGGCACCACTTCCCCATTGGTGTTGGTGATCCGCATTACCATGGTCACCAGCACAAGCGAGGCATAGGTGATGCTGGGGAGAGGAGGCAACAGGGCAGTGAGCGGGTGCGAAAGTACCTAGGTCTTCTGCAGCACATGGAATGAGTTGGGTGGGACCCCCATATGCAGGCTTTACACCTAAAATGCACACACAGTCACATAAGCCCACTAAAGAGAACCCCCCAGAGTGAGAGTCACCTGAGGTCTAGACCCCAGAGAGTGAATGAGAAACCTGGAGATGGTCTGGTGAGAAAAGGTAGAGACTGCAATGAGGGGACACTCACATGATGACATGAAAAGGCCCCCCGAGAACAGTCTGTCCAAAATATCGAGAGGCACCAACCCTGAAGATGTCTGGGATCTGGGGAGAGGCCAGTAAAACAAAAGGACAAGGTAGACTGCAGTTCAGTCTGGGCCTCAGGTGAGTGACCCTGGCCTGGTTCCCACCTGCACCTCACCTCTAGGAGCAGGATGATCACAGCTCCAATAACGGTGAACAGTTCCCCTACTAGCCGGATCATATCGTGATGTGTCACATAGGCCTCCTGTGGGAGGAAATTCAGAAGTGCTTTCTCAGAGTCAAATCCTTTCGGGCACACAAGCTGCCTATCCAAGATAATTCGAAGCTCCCCTAACCATCAGTATCTCCCCCACCCCTGCTGTATTTGCCACTGTAACTAACATTGTGACCAGAAATGAATGTTTACATTCATTTACATCCAAAGTTTAATATGTCTTACATATGCAGATGACTTGAGCTACCAGCTAGCAAAGTCATCTTTTGTATATATGTCGTAAGCAGTCATTTATGATGTTGTTTACTGAACAGCTAAGAACAGATTTCAAAGCATCAGTTAAGAAGTCTGAACCAACAGGAAGAGTTATTAGTGGCTTGGGGTAATTTCAGCTATGTGGAAAGTCCAGCTTTTCCAAACTCACTTTGGCTCCCGATAGGGATAATATACTGTAAACACAGCACAGAACTCAGGTTCCAGCCCCAGCCCAGAATGTACCATTGAGCACCATGGATATATTTATTGTGGTTTCGTTGTGATTTGGCAAGATAGAAAAGGGCGGAAACACTACATGGATTTTAGCTTTGATGAGGGGGTCCCTGTCTGCCCTGAGCAGTAGGGCAGCAGTAGAAGGTATAGGTACCAGCATCAATGTGGGAATGAAGACTATTCTACTTCATTGCATGTTACTTCTCAGTAAGACTTCTACATTACATATAGGTATAGGTAATGTTATGTCTAGGTAAGGATAGAATTCTACATCAATGATCCTCAATTTTTTTGAAGTTATGGATCCACCTAATAAAATAATAAAACTATGATCCCTCTTTCTGGAAAACTGTGTTCACATAGAGACAATTCCCACATAAACTTGTACAAACAATGTCATCACATTCAAGTAGCCTAAAGGCTTTGGAGAACTCTGTTTTCCTAGGTCACATCTCTAAATACTACACCCAAGGAAGGAGTTGAGAGTCCCTGGGGTTGGTAGGAAAGCTGATGATTGGAACTAGAGAGAATGAGAACCCTCGTTAAGCATGAGGACTGGCACCCATCCCTGTTCTGCTAATAAATGGGGATCCTATAAGCCTCTTTCCATCAGCACTGTAGCAGCACAGCCAGTGACCAGTCCAGAGAGAGGTGCAACTTTTAAGTTGGAAGAGATCCCATGAGGTAGGAGGTGACCTATGCAATAAGAAGGCATGCACCATGGTTGCCAATGCGAATCAGATCAGAAGATGCCAAGGATCTGGCCTTTACAGAAGAGTAGGACCAGATGCACCAACAGATGGTGGAAATGTTTCAGGTAAATTTTATGAAACTAAGAAAGACTAGGAAAGGAGTTATGGTGTATGTGCCCAGAGAACTCTGTGGTCTAACAAGTTGTATGTAGACATCAGTCACCATCATTGTTTTGGTTTTAAAGATTGACATTTATCTCTCTTAAGAAACTGGTAAATTGTATTTTACCATATGATGGAATATGCCCCCTTTTCCTTGCTTCCAAGGAATTTCAGAGCTCTTTTTTTGTCCTCAGTTCTAGTAACTATCTTTGAATTTCTTCTGCTCATTCCAGAAATTTAGTTCACGGATGATATTCTTTTGCTGTTGTTTCTGTTTTTGTTTTGTTTTGTTTATTGCAACAGAGTCTCACTCTGCTGCCTCCGCTAGAGTGTCATGGCATCATCATAGCTGACAGTAACCACAAACTCCTGGTTTAAGTGATCCTACTGCCTTAGCCTCTCAAGTAACTGGAACTACAGGCATGTGCCACTGTGCCAGGATGACTTCTCTTCTCTCCTCTCCTCTTCTCCCCTCTCCTCCCCTCCCTTTCCTCTTTTCTCTTTTCTTCCTTCCTTCCTTCCTTTCTTTTTTTATCTTTTTCATAGAGATAGATGTCTTGCTCTTGCTCAGGCTAGTCTCAAACTCCTGGCCTCAAGCAATCCTCCTGCCTTGACTTCCCAAAGTGGTAGGATTACAAACATAAGCGCCACACCCAGCCTCCTTTTCTTTATATTAATGTTCCTACAACACCTGTCTTTTATTCTTAAAATAGTCACCTCTTTCATGTCATGTAGTAAGTGGGAAGAAAAATAACAAATGCATTACTTAAGAAAAAAATTAAATATAGAAGTAACATAACTTCATCTATGCCATATAAATGTCTGTATAACATTTTTGAATTCTTCTTAAAACTTTTTACATTAGTTGAGAAAATTAAATATAGAAGTAACATAACTTCATTTATGCCATATAAATGTCTATATAACATTTTGAATTCTTAAAACTTTTTATCTTAGTTGAGCTTGTCTGGAAGAATGCTACCAACCTTTTTTTGGTTTAAAAGAAAAAGGAATAACAAACGCTAAGTTGGCCAGGAGAGCTGTGACGATCAGAGTGCCCCTGGAGGCCAGAAAGGGAATAGCAATCAGCTAGGCCCTAGGAAGACAGAAAAAGAAGTCAGACTTCAGGGAATGGAGATTGTTGGGTCACCAAACTCTCCTGCTGGGGGTTCCCTTCACTAGCTCCTCTTTTCTTATTCAACAGATTTCTTCACAAGTAGGTATTCCCCTGCACAGATTTACCAGTGAGTAACTACGATATCCAAGTTTTGCTTTAGCTCTGCCTAGCATCTGACTACATTGGTTAGCAACCTATGACCCCCACCCCATGCCTCTTGGGGTCTTTTCCCTTAAACCTGTTAAACCCAGCTGCAGGTGGTTGTGCTTTCCTGAGAGTCTTTTCCTTGCTTCTCTCCAAGGCCAGAAGCCTTGTGTAGGGTTTCATTTGCTTTTATTTTTTTTTAACTGCTCTCTCTAGAACATAAAAGATAATATATGTGTTAAGGTACAATAAAACTAATGACAATATTGGGTTATTAAGACATTTTTCTTTTGTAAAAAATGTATTTTAAGAACTCTCGGTTTCATATTGAAATATAATGGTTTAGAATACTCATAGATTCCAACAATGCTTTCAAAGGTAAAAAAAAAAATTTCAATGTTTCAAAAATGAATAAGGACATAGAATTTAAATGATAGTGAGGATTCTTATTTAATTACCACCTTTGCAACCCTATAATTAAACCCCAAGCCTAAACTGGCAATGAATATTTCTTTTTATTCTTTGAAAATTATAAGATTTTCCATCTAAATTAAGAAGCTGACCCACAGTGTTCTAGATGTGTGATCTTTATGCAAAAGTTTTGCACTCAAGATCAAGGTTATGTTCAACAATGTAAATCAGGAGGTCATCATACTCCAGTTCCTTGCAGCCACTCTCCCAGTTCTCTCTTCTCCTCAATCACAGACCTATGGCCTTAACGCAAACCCATGTCTTCTATCATCTGGTCTATCCAACATCTATTTTCCCTCCTTTCACCTACTCCCCACAATATTTCTGGACCAATCTTTCTAAAATGTCATCCATGAGGATTGTCTGTTTAACTCCTTTCCCAGCTCCCCAATGCCTTCAGAATGAAAATTCAGGAGAAAGGGTAGTGGAGGGCACTCTTTAAATCTTTATCATTTCAGAAATTCACTAGATAATGTCTAAATTTATTAATAAATAGAGATAGAAGCATATTATCCCAGGGGTGTGGACATGATGAATAAAAGAATAAAGAGCTAGAAGCAGGAAAACACGGTTGTTCCCAGGGAATAAGCCAGGGCAAGGAGAAGGGGCTGTCCATGTGAGTGATTTTTAAATCATGTTTATGTATTCTCTTAATTAGAAAAGCTCATTGTGAGATAAAGAAAAACAAATGAACCCAAATGGGCCCTGCCTCCTGTCCTCATACTCTGTGTCAGCCCCAGCCACAACGAGCTCCTGTAGTTGTGGTTTGCTGGGTCAGATCTACACAAAGGCTGTGGCCTTTCCTTAGTTGCCTTCCTTCACCACACGTACCTGGTTCACCCTGGCTTATGCCCCAAGATACAGATCAGGCTAACACTTCTCCTGAGGCTCTCTTTTCCTGCCTCTCCTTGCCCAGGTCAGGTGTGTCTCCAGTGGGTACATGGTGCAGCCCTCTCCCCACACATTTCAAATGTCTGAGGACCCCATTGTGTCACTGGGAGTCTTAGAAATTCCTGAGAGCAGGGACACCTCACTCCTTTTTATCCACAATGAACAAAGTAATGGGTGTTCGATTAGTAAAAAGGGAAAGAAGGAAGAAGGGGGACGAACAGCTGCGTGCTGATCTTCACCTGAGAGTTACAGAGGGGAGGAAAAGAGAAATCAGAAAGCAAAACTGGGGATACTTATCTGGAGGCAAAAGGGGGGAAGAACTACAACTAATAGGAATTTTTTGAGATTTCCAAACTCTTAGCTCACGGTCACCTAAACAGACTTGCTCCTACCCTTTTTTTATTGACACAGGATCTTGTTCTGTCACCCCACCTAGAGTGCAGTGGTATTATCATAACCCCCCTTTATAAATAAATATCTTCCAAAAATGACTGAAATTTTTTTTTTTTTTTTTGCAGTTTTTGGCTGAGGCTGGGTTTGAACCCACCACCTCCAGCATATGGGGCTGACGCCCTACTCCTTGAGCCACAGGTGCTGCCCTGAAATTTTTTATTTAACTGCATAGTTTAGAATTTTAGGACTGGTCAAAAACCAAAACTACACAAGTTGGCTATTTGTACTTCACTGAGAATAGGCCTGTGAGATTGCCCTGGCTGAATTCATTGTCTTAAAGAAAACATCCCAAAGGAGTGGCCATAGCAGAGCCTGGAGCAAACTGCCTGTGTGCACCCTGCATCAACCCCAATGGGGAGTGGGATCATGCCAGAATCATCCATGAACCAGCTGTCAACCCCAACCCTAGACCTTCTTATTCCTCTCCATGATGCCAGATTTGGAAAGGAGGGATATTCCCAGAAAAGGCCCTGCTGGCTCTTAATGCAGAGTTACTTGGATTTTCTGAACTGACCATAAGTTACTAAGCAGGGCTGCCCATCAGATTCAACCCAGACTTTGTCATGACACACATGTCCAGGCCAGCCTTGAGTTAGTTTGGATCAGAGATC